AGAATATATGAAGAATTCTCTAGCACCAGATGTTGTCCTGACCTTTTGTGAATGTTTGTTAGTTCTGTTTTTGAATTTCGCGCAAAGCTACACGAGGGCTATCTGCGCTAGCCGTCCCTAATTTAACAGTGTAAGACTAGAGGGAAGGCAGCTAGTCATCACCACCCACCGCCAACTCTTGGGCTACTCTTTTACCAACGAATAGTGGGATTGATTCACATTATAACGCCCCATGGCTGAAAGGGCGAGCATGTTTAGTGTGACGAGGATTCGAACCCGCGACCGCAGATTGCGAGTCGAGTACCCTAACCACCTGGCCATGATTTTGTGAATGTAAATGCAAGTATCGTCATGAAGAGTTTCTTAACAGAGATACTTTTAGTTGTGACATTGATATGTGCACAAATCGTACCATGCCTGATGAATAATCAGATGAAGAAGAAGGTGATAAATAAAAATATGATTAAGAAATGTTATATTAAGATATTCAGGTGTGTAAGGAGAAATTGTTGTGATATGGAACTATAAGAATTACTGGACTCTGCAAATTACCAGTATTTTGTGTTGTGCGATGTATTAAGTGTGTAAAAAAAAAAGGTTACACTAGACTTTATATAATGGCCTTATAGATTATTAAGTGCACTGATATTGCATACAATTTGTTCTATGATAATAAACCAGTTAGTTCAATACTAATTTATTGATTATTTAAGCACAATCATACAATGACGGACATTATAAATTATTATATAAAAAGCTTTATTGAAATTTTACTTTTTTTACATACACATGTGTTATTAACAGAAAATGATCACTCTAGTTGTTTCCAATGCAGTAAATCACAAGGATAACTATTAGATGAATTATAACAATTTTTATTACAATAATTAATATTCTATATCAATGGGGTACATTATGACGAAAAAAAAGTTATTACAAAAAACTGCACCACTTTTAACTCCGACAACAGTGTTTCTGAACTATCTCGGGGGTGTACCTAAATTATTTTACAGTCAAAATGTTTCTAACTCATGAGTTAACGAAACTCAAAACTTAGAGGCTTTCTTTGAGTGATCTTCTGGACTATGTATGGCAATGGTTACATATGAAATGTAAGATGCTTGAAAGTCCTGCTCGTTCTATTCTTATATACCGAAACAGGCCGTCAGTACCCTCATTGCACTTGTATCTGTAGACAAGAAAATTGTGAATATTTGAATATGACAATTTCCAATCAAATATTAATATATCAAACATATTGTTTTACTGTAATAAATGTTGTGTAAACGAGACATATTTATTAAAATCAAGATCTTTGATTTCCGTAATAAAATACCGAATACCATCGTTCTTCAAGACTGTTTAGTTCTATATCATTAGCAAGATTTCATGGATAGAACTCAAATCCAATGATACATCATCATCACTCAGACATTTCTGAATATCAGGAAGACAGGTATTATAAGAAACTTGTGCAGATGTTTGTAGTTCCCCAGAAGATCCTATAATTGACGACCTGTTGTCCATAAAAATACGTATATTATATGTATATAATCAGAAATGTAGAATCTACATGAAATTATTGTTTCCCAGGAAATTTTAACTCTTCTTGAAACTTAGTTATAAAATCTATTACAACAATCTAGGTTTATTCTAATACTCACCAATCAAATATTTTCTTGAAATGCAGTCCGTGACCATTCCTGCTTGGAAGACTTCGAATCCTTTCCGCCGATCTCATAGTGACAGTGATTGGCTTCACTGAGAAATATAACGCAAGTGATAGGTAATTTATATTGCACTAAGGAGGTTTAGTTGACGAAACTATAATTAGTTGGTGTTCTTGTGATTTGACGCCGACGTAGGTTTGTGACAGTTTCCATAAAGTGCAGTGGTAACAGTTGGGTATCAGTTTATTGTGTACTCTTAGTAAAATGCTAATCACACTAAACACAGGTAAGTAATGCTCCAGCAAAGTCGGTTTTATTATCATAACCTAAAAACATTTCAAATGAACCAGAAATAAGTAATCATATTATTAAAGATGGGTCACTACAAATCAACATTTCTACTAGTTTCATTTTGAATATGGTTCATAACATAAAAATGCATATAAAAATATGATGGTTTGTTCTGGTCGCCGAAGAAGTTTACAGATGTTCACCAACCCACAACAATTAAATGAAAAACAGGAATATGAGTATTTGTTTTGAGTGTAAAGCTGTAAAATTGGCTATTTGCGCTCTGTTCACCAGCAGTTTTTATGGTTGTAAGTCTACAGATTTAGCGCTGATCCACTAGGGCTTGGTATATGAGTAATATTACACTTTTGTCTTCCTTTTTATCTGTCGAAAACAAATTAGTGTTCCAAATTATTTGACATGCAATTTCAACTAATGTTAGAATTATTCTGTATCTTATACCTCTGAACGTTTGGACAGATGATCAACTGAAAATTTTGGAAGATGAATTACTATAATCTGTGAAAGTTCGTACAGCTCATTGATTTGCGGTTTTTGAGTCTCCAGTTTTGTTGAATGATATGATTTTATGATAGATATCTAATAATATGTATATATATATATATTTATATATTTCAATTGCTAATAAATAAAACACAATTTTCATTAGACAATATGAACCACTATCGGTTTGAAGAGGTGTTATTGCCTTCGTCTTTCATTGGTTGTAGTCGTAGCTACTAAGCTACATTCTCTAACTGCCAGGAAACTAATAATTTATTTACCTGAAAAGCGTTTGTAATTGGACATCTTGACTAAACCATACCCATTTGTTGCTACTTAACAGTCAATAAAACTAATTGAATCCTCTCACAGCAGTATAGGAAAGGAAGTCATGGTGATGCACTAGCCACATCTGGTGATCTTAATCATTAATCAGCTGCCTCAAATCCTAATCTTAACAGCAATGTGCCCTGATGAGTGGAAAATATGGCAGTATTGTGTAGTATCTCAACAATGTGCCATAATCAGAGGAAAGTATGGTCAGTTTGGACGTCACAGACTTATTTACCAATGTTCCAACATCAGAAATCCTTCATATCACCAGACAACGACTGCTGAATGACAACTTTCTACAACACAGAACTGACATAAAGATAGATGCGATCATCGAAGTAATGGCTATTTGCCTACAATCAACTTACTTCTAATACAACAACACTCTCTCTAATCCTAGCCTGTAAAGGCAAAGATTGCCAAACCAGATGGGATCAACATTAAAAAGATGAAGATAACTCTGCTCTTTTCAATTTGTTTCTTCATTCTGTATTTTCTCAAGTGGATGTACACCTGAAGGACAAGCTCATTTCTTTGTCTGACAATCTTTATACTTACATGGCCAAACAAATACTGAGTTGCAATGGAGAAGCTAAGAGAAGTCATTTGGCATCGTATATGTGGGTAAAAAGACATAATAGGTAGTTTTGACGATCTCGATTTTAAGGATGGTGAGAACGATGAAATCAAAGACCAACATGTAGATACACATGGTAGTCAAACAGTTGACGTGATCAGCCATATACATTTGGACAGCTTTTTGCAGAACAATTTCTAGTCTGATAATGAAAATTTAAAATTCTGGTTTGCAAAAAGGAAATATTTATTTTGTATTATTTCAAAGATGAAACAGGATACAAAATTATAGTACAACACATTTATGTCTCCACTAGAAAAGTCATGACCAGCCCATCAGCCATTATGTCGCATGCTAAAGCATTTCAGAAAGGAATGGCCAAATATCTTTTGAAATATATAATGTGCAAATCATTTTCAATTCATCAGGGAAACTTACAAGCGTCTATCAACAATGCATTTTAGGTAAAGTCCTACACGTCTTGTTATAGGATGTGTTAATAATGATGCATTTAATGGATCTAGAAGAAAAGGCTGTGAAAATTCAAGCATTAGAGTACCAATTTCGTAGCAATCAATGTGGGTGGAAAACAGATTTCTGCTTGACCTTTACAACCCGATTTTGATGGTGAACTGTATGCATGACGCTATGGAACATTACTTAGGGCAAGGATTCTCAACTTTTCCTCCATCATTAACCGCCCGGCTTGATGTATTTCTCCATTTACCTCCTTACTTCCATACAAAAAATTCATAGCCATCATAAAGGGACAGAAAAACAAGAAGGTCAGAAAAAAAAATATTATTCAGGTTCTGCGTAAAAATAGCAATATACATTCGTATCACCAAAAATAAAGAAAATAAAACATTCTTTTCTAAAGAAAAAATATACAGTCCATTTTTATCACAAAAAATAAAACCAAATAGAAACACCAGAAACATTATCAGTAGGAACACTGCTTATTCATTGAGTCAATCAGTTTGTTTATGCGAGGAGCTGTTGATGACAATGCTACTCTCATATCGTCATCGGCTTTCAATCAGTTCCTGGCCTTTGTCTTCATTGCTACTAAACTTGAGAACCCTGATCCACATAAGTATGTAGTGACAAAAGGAACAAGCACTTGGAAGGAGTGGGAATGAATCTGCGAGTTTTATCCAAAAATGAACACCAACCTTTTCAAATTCTTCTCTAAAAGTAGCTGAGGATTGAAGATCAATCAGCTCCTCTATTGCTGGGTCATCATGTTTCATTTCTGACAGTTCATTGGCAAAAGGTCTTATCATCCATCTCTCTGTTGGAATCATGTCTTTTGAAAAGTAGCCAGTGAAGTGATTCTTCAAGATTTTCAAATGTTCTTTGATGTCTTCATTTATCTCAGGTAACACTCCAGATCTTTCCTCATCCAAGTTTGGAAAACTTGCAAAGTTACTTTGGTGAACTCTCCGTGCCCATAAGTCCAGCTTTGTCTGCAATGCTGTCATCTTTTCACTTGCTTCAACAATGGTTACTGATGTTCCCTGGAGTTGTTTGTTGACTTGGTTAAGATGGGTAAATATATCTGAGAGGTACCCTAAACAGGCGATAAACTTCAGATCAGCAAAGTCTTCACACAGCTTTGAATTTCAGCCACGAAGAAAAATCTCTAACTCAGTACTGAGCTCAAACACACAATTTAACAGAAGTCCACGAGAAAGCCACCTCACATCGGTATGTAGTAAAAGAATGGAATGCTCAGAGCCCATCTCATCACAAAAAGTTTTGAACAAACGGTGATTCAAAGCTCGGGCCCGAATGAAGTTAACAGCCTCAACAACTTTCTGAAAAACAATTTTCAGATTTTCAGGAAGAGTTTTTGCAGCTAATGCATGTCTGTGAAGAACACAATGTGTTGTTATCACATGGGGTGCATTTTGCTTCACAAGTGCAGTGAAGCCTGATCTCACTCCCATCATGACTGGAGCTCCATTAGTACAGATTGAACCAACAATGTCCCATGTGAAATCGTTCTTTTCAAAGAAGTCTTGTATTTTCTGCATTATATCAATAGCCTTTGTGGTTTGTTCGAGAGGTTCACAAAAGAGAAATTCATTTTTAGTTCTTTTCCACATATGTAACGGACAAAAACAAGAAGATGTGAAAAATTGGCTACATCACTGGATTCATCAAGCTGCAAAGAAATTTATGCTGGGCTAGATTTGATCTGTTCAATAACTTGTTGACAAATATCTTGCGACATTTCTATAATACGCCGATGAATTGTGTCATTAGAAAGGGGAATGGCTTGAATCTTCTGTTTTTCTTTAAATTAAAGTGTGAACCTCTAGCAGAAATATCAGGTGTCAGATCAAAGGGAAAGAGTATATTCCTCCCGAGTATTCGTCATACCTTATATCAATTCCTTAATCTTGAAACTGTTTCCCCACCCCCTAAATCAGTGATTCTCAACCAGGGGTAAATTTACCCCTTGGGGTAAAAATTACATGGCAGGGGGTAAATAATTGATGTACCTGATGATTGAATAATAATTCAATTAAATTGCATTTTGTAAAACGTGTGTGTGTGTGAGAGAGAGAGAGAGAATGCTAAGAATGTGTGTATGTCTGCTCCCGTGCATGCGTGAGGGAGAGAGGGAGGAGGGGGAGGAAGGGAGAGTGTCAGTCAATCCTGTTCAGTCCTATACAGTCATTATACTAATTCATAATTATCTATTTTCAGATTTTGTCATGTCCAAGAAACGTACATACCTGGATTCATATGTACAATATGGTTTTTGACTTCATTGTTGAGGATGGTGTGGAGAAGCTTCAGTGTCTGCTGTGCTCAAATGTTCTTGGAAGTGGGTCACTGAAACCTTCAATATTGAAACAGCATCTGGAAGCTACACATCCTGCCCATGCATCTGATGACCGTGCTACATTTGAGGCAAAGAGAGATAGGTTTAGGGCTGTAGGAACACTGCCCAAACTTGGCTTCGTATCTGAGAAGAAACCAATGCTTGCAGCTTCCTATCATGTAGCGATGCGAATAGCAAAGGCAAAGAAACCTCATGACATAGCCGAGAAGCTGATTAAACCTTGTGCCTTAGACATGATTGAACATGTATGTGGAAAATATATCACTATTGGACATAAATGCTTATTCTATTCTTTCCTTTCATCGTATCACTATTAGCAACAATCCAGACGAAACATTTATCTTTCTGTTTATCACTACTAGTAACAAATACAGCTAGTATTTTGCTCCCTATCCGTAATACTATTATCGATAAATACAAATTTACCCAACATCATGCTCAAGTTGAACAAAAAAAAACGCGGACTAGCTAATTAATGAATGAATATTTGCTGTAAAATTATTATGACTGCTATAAGTGTAGGTACCAGTTTAGCCGCCAATTTTGATTTCACTTATTTAAGTCGCACGCTCATCCTTTTTTGGCCGCACCTTTTTTTTTTCACGCCTAAGATGGTTGGCCTAACTAACACTTATGTATCTACACTCGCTTTCATTCTATAGTTTTGCTGCTCTAAATCAGCTGTCTTTAATCCGAATGGCAAAAAAAAGAAAAACGGTCCACCTTTACTCTTAAGTGAAGCTGTAGTAAAAATTTCAGACCGATAGCTCATGTGGCTTTTTGCGGATTTTTTCAAATTTGCTACACTGATAGATCTTTACAACCTACAATTAGGTGTCAAAGTTGTTCTAAATATAAGCCATATGTGCAAAGTTATTCAACAAAACTGCTTATTTTTGACCAAAGTTTTTGTGCAAAATTGAGCAGTGTTTTTGTTGAATAATTTTGCACACGTGGCTTATGATTAGACCACATTTAACAACTAATTGTAGGTTGTAAAGATTTATTAGTGTACCAAACTTGGAAAAAAACACACATAAAAGTTAAGTATGTTTTTCTATAAAATAAAGTTTCCTAATATCTGTGCGAAGATAAAATAAAAGAATAAATTTAATTCAAATTAGAGGTTTTATATCTCATATATTTCCTAATGGATTGCCTTTAAATTTAGTATGTCAAGTACAGGTGCAGTAGAGCATATTTACTGAAAATATGTGCTAGTTTGGATTACTATAGTCCGAGTTACAGAAATAGGAAAATCGCAAAATTATCACTCCTGTTAACAACACACAGCGTGTCCTGCATGTTGTTTTGGTTGCATCACACACTACCGTGTGTCTCGGTAATATTCTTCACTGGCCTGGAATCACTATCAGCGATAAAAAGAGGTAATATTCCTTTCACTCTCTTGCTATCAGTATGAGCGACAAATAGCGACGTATTTCTGTTAGCGACATACACATACAATAACACTGATCATTAAGTTAGAAAATTCTTAAAGCCTGTTGATTTAAGGCTAACTTCAAATTACAAAACTCTCCCCACTAATAGTCCCACTCACGAAATGAAAAAAATGTCTGAATTCATTGCAACGTCACATTGTAATAGTAACTGAAACAAAAACACCACCCCTCACATTTTGCAGTTTCCAAGAAACTCGTGGAAGTATAATTTGCTAATACTTAGGATACCAAGTAAGGTGTATTTTAAACCTATTTTTAAGAAGAAAATATAGCTGAAAAATAAAGATTAAGCTTTTTTTGTGTTCCACAGTTACCAGTTCTTTGTTGGAAATAAATATCTGGGTTACATCGTTAGGTGACTATGCATTAATATACAAATAAAAAATAACACACCAGTAAAATCAGAAAACACACCAAAGGTAATCACTTTGTGTTGACAGAGTGTGGTGTTGTACTAAACGATGACAACACTTGTATCGTGAGTGGAGTTGAAGTTGAGCAGTAATTAAGGATTTATGAAACTCTAATCTGTCTGTGGCCCCAACTGAATACATTTCAAAACTCGCCTTTTCTTTTGCTCAGTTTGTTTCATAATTTGGGAAATAGAGAAATAGAAAAAAAAAAAACTTATATTATAATACTTCACTGGAATTCACTTGGAATTATCCTTAAATCTAGTTGATAATTTACCTGATATTTAGCTATGTTGAAAGTTTTAATTTCAGTGGTAGGTTAACTCTAATTATTTAAGAAAATAACTTGAATATAAGGAATAACATTCTCTTACACAGTAAATATTTTGTTCATTCATTTTAAAGCTCATTATTATACAGAGTGTATAACAAATATGAAGACCTGGCGAGAAAAGCACAGAACAGACAGAAGTGGAGGATTGTGACAGCCAACCTTCCTGAGGAAGACGGCACATGATGATAATGATGATTATTCGAAGCTAAAATAATAAAAAACGACACTAGACAAAACAAAATGCTCAATCCTTAAAGGGAAAGTTTATTTGTTTACTTCGGACATTCGCAAAAAGCTATCACAAAGGTCATTTGTGCAAACCGTCCCTGATTTTGAACTGATTGATTAGAGAAAAGAAAGCTACTCAAAAGCAACCACCAAATACTCAAATCAAATAGTGGGAATTGACCGTCACTCTTGTAACGCACCCACAGCCATAAAGTGTGGAGGGCGATTTTAATTAAATATACTTTGAATTAACATTATTTTGGGGTGGCTATTTTTGATATATTAGTAGAAGGCAATGAGATGCCATGAGTATGAGAGTAAATTAACAATCTTTTTACTGAACACACCAGACAAAATTAAGTTTAAAACACAAAAGATAAAATAATTTCATTAAAACTACATCATTTGTTTTTGATACTGTTTTAACATTGAAAGTTTAAATTTAATTTTGTTTAATGTGTCAGTAAAATGGTTGTTAATGTTATTTGTCCAGACATTATAAACTCGTTCTTTATATAGAAAAAACAGCATATCATAGTAAATGCATATATTTATGTAGGGGATAAAATATGGCTTTTATGGATTAACAAGAATCAACACTACCTCTAATTAACCTGACGAAACTGAAAGTAAGCGGGATACGTACCTACATTTTCTAATTTCACGAACGTATGCTAACAAATTGCAAATTATGACAGTGCAGTTTTCATATCAATCGTAATTCGTTAAATATGCGGCTTTAATATAAATTTTATTTTGATGCTCAGGATCCATTTATTTCTAAATATATACATATATAGGTTTTCAGACCTTTCCAGACCTTTAAATGGTCACATACAACAGACTTTCACATTACTGTATGCATTTGTTTATGTATACATATATCACATTACCGTTATACGTCCAGGTTGTCAACTTATTGTCATAACGGATAATGTCTAAATTATATTTTATTATTTTCATAAAGAATCGATTAAGAAACCCGAAACTTATCTCGATATAAATTTGATATTTCTTTCAGTGTCTTTAAAAATAAAATAAAATAAGTTGCAATACAATTTATTATTACCATGGTTGATAAAGCTGGTTGCAATTTTGGTTTTGTGTCCTCTCACAAATGTAAAAATATATATACCCCAGTTCTGTATTTATAACAGTTATATTGTTTTAACGAACAAGTATATAAGCAAATGGTGGGTATTCCAATGGGAACGAACTTCTCTTCAAATATGGCCAATCTGTATCTGTTATTTTATGAAACTCATTTATGAAGCATACTTGAACTCCTACTTTATACATCTATACTTTCCGTCACATAGATGACTTAGTATCTACAAATAACATGTATTTTACACCAAACTTAATATATCCAACATAACTTGCAATAGAAAGAAGTAATAATAGTAATAATGAGGTCCATGCTAACTATTTACATTTGGACATTACTTTTGGAAAGGAGACTGGATCCATTCATTTTCAGATGTGTATATATATGTATATATATATGTTTTGTTTCCAAACCTTTAGATTTTCACATAAAACAGACGTTCGCGTGATTGGGTTCATTTATTTTAAATATACATATATATAGATGCATATATTTTGTTTCCATAAAACAGACTTTGAAGGGACTGGATATAGTTGTCTTTAAATATATATTTGTGTGTGCTTTTTTCCAGACGTTTAGATGGTCAAACGAAGAAGACTTTGACGTGACTGGATCCATTTATTTTTAAATATACATATTAGTGCTTCGTTTCGAAACGTTTAGATAGTCACACAAAAGAGACTTTGACGTGAGTGAATCCATTTATAT